ATGAGTGCAGAATCAATTTGTTCATGCATGAGCAAAATCTAAGGGGCGGAAATACCCGTCTAAGGGGCGGAAATACCCGTCTAAGGGGCGGAAATACCCGGTCATGGGATCCAAAGCCATGAATAGCTCAAAAGTGATTGATGAGCAGCCTTTAGAAAAGAAATAAACATAAAAAGTCATGAGCAACAAATAAAATAATCAGAAACCCACAAGTCATGAAGATTAAAAAAAAAATACATGAGAAACCCGCACAAAATCATAAGCAGCTCAAAAGTCATGAGTAGCCTATTAAAGGCAAAAAACATGAGTAACCCAAAAAAACATGAACAGCTAAAAAAAATCATGAGTAACAAAAAGCACATGAGCAACTCAAAAATCATGAGTAGCCAATTGAAAAACTAAAAACTCATGAGCAACAAATGACAACATGAGAAGTTCAAAAGTCATGAGAAGCCCTACTAAAAAAAAAAACAAAACACATGAGATTAGAACATGAGAAACTCAACAGTCATGAGAAGCCTTCATTTAGGAAAAAAAACATAAAAACTCATGAGCGACAAAAAACAATGATCATGAGAATCTCAAAAGTCATGACTAGCCAATTAAAAAAAAACCACAAAGCAAACAACTAAAAACTCACGAGCAACAAATGACACCATGAGAAATCCAAAAGGCATGAGTAGCCTTGCTAAAAAAATGAGTAGCCTATTTAAAAAATGAACAGGAAATAAAAACATGAGAAACTCAAAAATCATGAGCAGCCTTCATGAAAAAAAACAACTCATGAGCAACAAATGACAACATGAGAAACTCAAAAGGCATGAGTAGCCTTACTATCAAAAAAAAAACGCGCATGAGTAGCCTTATTCAAAAAAGTGAGCAGGAAACAAAAACATGAGAAACTCAAAAGTCATGAGTAACCTTTATAGATAAAAACATAAAACTCATGAGCAACAACTGACAACATGAGAAACTCAAAAGGCATGAGTAGCCTTGCCAAAAAAAAATGTGAGCAGGAAATAAAAACATGACAAACTTAAAAGTCATGAGTAAGCAGATTTCTTTAAAAAACAAAAACTCATGAGCAACAAATGACAACATGAAAAACTCAAAAGTCATGAGCAGCCCGAGTCAAAAAAACACATGAGCAGGATATAAAAACATGAGAAACTCAAAAGTCATGGGTACAGTAAAAAAAGAAAACACGAGCAACAAAAACAAAAATCATGAGAATCTCAAAAGTCATGAGTAGCCAATTTACAAGAACATGAGTGACCCAAAAGTCATGAATAGCCTCATTAAAAAAACAAAAAACAGAACTACAAAAAAAATCATGATCAGCCAGAAAGTCATGAGTAACCGAGAAGAAAACATGAGCAGCTCAAAAGTCATAAGTAGCCTTTCAAAAGATAAGAAAAAATCATGAGCAACGAAAACAAAAGTCATAAGAAACACAAAAGTCACGAGTAGCCTATTAAACAAAAAAAAACAATTAGTAACCCGACGCAGTCATGAGCAGCTAATAAATCATGAGTAACAAATAAACACATGAGCAGCTCAAAAATCATGAGTAACCTTTATTAAGAAAAACACACTAAAAAGTCATGAGCAACAAATGAAAGATAAAAGCATGAACAACCCAAAAGTCATGAGTAGCCTTATTTTAAACAAATGATAACTAACTAATTACAAGAAATCATGGGCAGCCTAAGAGTCATGAGTAACCAGAAAAAAAAACATGAGCAACTCAAAAGTCATGAGTAGCCTGATTTACCCCACAAAAAATCAAAAGCACAAAAAAATACGTGGGCAGCTCAAAAGTCATGAGTAGCCTGATTTCAAAACAAATGAAGTAAAATCATTGATTTTTCTGAACCAGAGTGTTGGTGTGCAAATCTTTCTTGATTGGCAACTTCCAGGAAACCAAAGGGGCAGAAATATTTCTAAGGGGCTGAAACTGCCCAGAGGGGCTGAAATCAGAGTCAAAAAGCAGAGGGGCAGAAAAACGACACATGAGGAAGATTGAGGTATGTAATAGTATATTTAAAATTGTATGTATAATAATGAAAAAAATATCGGATGTAATATACATACAAATATATATATATATGTATATTGTATACATGTATTGTATGTTAAATACATTGTGTAATATATATATATATACATATTGTATACGTACATAAATATTCTATGATTTATGCACCTTGTATAATCCATCTATATGATATATATATATATATATATACATATATATATATGTATATATCATGTATATAAATATTATATTATATACATGTACCCCATAACATGCTTATTACCGTTGGAATGCCCAGGCGGGCGAGTTGAGCGTAGCTCGAGCGGCTGGCGGCACGGACCGTTGGGGAATCCCAGCAGGAAGATAGGGATTTGTTGAAATAGATATCTACTATAGATGGTTATTGAACGTTATTGATAGATTTATTGATTTATCCAGGGATATAGATTCTTGCAGAATTATTATATAATTATTTGCAGCCGAAACTACTGTATTTCGGCAGGCAACTCGGTGGGTGAACACAAGTAGTGATAAGGAGTAAGTAAAACAATGGTCACTGCGTAGAATTCTGAACACACGGTCTAAGACCGAAGGAGTTCGATGGTAGCCATGATCTCTGGCAAAAAAACACCTGCACCGATTCGGGTCATTTTTCTGCTGGGGTTGTGACTTGAAATCTGCGGAAAACAGTCAGGCGGTAGAAATCTCTGGAAACGGAGAGTGAATAATCTTGTCCGCTGCCAGATTGCCACAGGGGTATCCCAGAGAAACGTCTGGCCATATCCCGAGATTCTCAGAGTGACCACAAAGGTGTAGATTGTGGGTCTAGTTTGACCTGTCGACTGAACACGGCCTGGACTGCAAGTTATGTTGCGAAATGTTTCGGACTTCGGAGAGTTTATACTTGGAGCTAATTTGTTAATATCTATAAATGGATAAGTAGGGGCAATCTCCACAACCATAACGAGGGTTATAGCCCACTTACTGGGATGAACCACCTACACGATGGAATCGTTGGACTCGATGGCACTCTATCTGCTGGATTGAATCTGCACTGATCCAGCAGATTCACAACTTGTCACAGTGCTCAAGACTCGGGAGAAAAGTAACGTAGTTGGTTGGTGTTGGTTGATGGTTGGTGGTTCAGAATTCATAAGGATTGAGCAGCAACATCAACCAACAGACCATTGATTCTCAGGCTATTAGGAATTTCTTCAAAAGCCTTTTGATCCAATAGACACTGAGAATCCCTCACCAGGCTCTTCGTTGACCGCGCGCACTGAGGTGTCCAAGCGCTGAGCCAACAGAAAGAGCTCGAAAAGAAGGCTGCAAATGGTCAAGTAGGACTTGAAGATTTGAAGAAATACATGTTGAAATAGATTTGATAGATGTTGAATTTATGTATAAAAGCAACAATGGCAAATGGACAACCTTACATTCAATCATTTTGATCTATGTTAATTTGGTTCAATGGGTAAATCACCTGCAAAAATGGTTGAATGTCAGTCAGCTTAGGTTTCTAGAAGGGATGACACATGATGACGGGCAAAGGTGAGTTTCTGATCAATCATATGTTCCTTGATGATAGCTGAATGGGTCACTACAGCGATCTTTCGGGCTTCTCCGGAATGGGGACTGGGATGACGATCCAATCATCTGGTCTTCAATTAATATTCCTCTGGATCCTGGATTTTTCATTTAAGTGGCAGACAACTGTTGGTGCAAAAATCGTATGAATCATGAACTTTTAAATGATCCTCATGATCATGTGAATCCTTACAGGCACTGTATCTTCCACCAGGTTTGGGCACAGCACGAAGGGAAGGTGGTTGACATGATCCATTCACCAAGCCCAAAATGGTCACGAGGATCCCCGGAGATTCCCGGCGCAGGTGAAGAGAAGCAATCCAAGGACGGTGAATTTCTTGTGAATGATATGCTGCTGACAGTTGTATCACCCACTGAAGACTCCACGATATAGTAAAACACCAGTCGCGGAAGAGTCCCTGACTTTGTCCCTGGTTTCGGCATTTTTTTGACACAACATGATACAATGGGGGTCGACTGGTCACATGGGCATTGCCATAGCAGATAGCTCGCTCTCAGCGGGAGGGATTAGGGATGGCTTCGAGGACGCCTTGGCTCTTGTCTTCAGAGGTGTGTCCAGCCGCGGCCGCCCGCTGAAACAGGATCCGTCTAGGACCTAATTGGATATTGGTTTCTGCTCACAACTTGAAGGTTTCTTGCTGGTTGGTGGTTTGGAACATGAATTTTATTTTTCCATATATTGGGAATGTCATCATCCCAACTGACTATATAATATTTTTCAGAGGGGTAGGGTCAACCACCAACCAGCTTGGGTTTGAGACCTTGGGAACTTGAGAATCTGGATACATTGGAAAGATGCGTTCAATTCCCAAGACATCCATCAAGCTTGGTGTTAGCTGTTAGCGAATGGGGCCAAGTTTTGGAGCATCTTGACACACTGCTTTCGATTTAGAAGCAATTCAGTGATACCCTCTGGTAAACTAACATAGCTATGGGAAATCACTATCATGTTTAATAGGTAAATCATCTATAAATCTCTAAAGTGTCCATTATCCATAGCAATGTAAGTCTACTGGAGGGTAATTGATTGAGGACATTTGAGGACTAAGAGCTGCTATGGTTATGGCCATGGTTTTGCAGAATCTTCCAACAAGTCCTCAGTGGATGTAGATTCAAAAGAGAAAAATTCCTTTTCCAAAAATACTGGTGAGCAGTTTCACAAACCCAGACCCTACTTGGTGCCTCATCGCACTTGGTAAGAGAGTTATAACCCACTTGGATGATTATAAGGGATTCTATACTTCTCATAATGAATTGTGGGAATGCCCATGAACCATCATGCACAACTATCATTATTTTGCCGTACATCCTATCTCCTGCACCTGAAATTTCTCCTTGTCGCTGTTCCTGTTCAGCTCTTACGAGTCCGGGGGCCCTGTAGGGCCAACGCGCCCGCGCGGGGCGCGCGCTGCCATGGAGGAAAGGGATGGCCATGGCCCTGCCCTGTCTCTGGTGCATCGACACGTCTTCGGTCTCAAGTTGCTCGGTTTTTTCGCTGGGCGCTGGAGGGTTGGGCCCGGTTGGGTGGGTGGAAGGGCTCTATAATTAATACTCTCTCTCTCTCAATATATATATACACACACACATACATACTGGTTGGTGGTTTCAAACATTTTTTATTTTCCATGATATATGGGATGTCATCCTTCCCATTGACCTTCATATTTTTCAAGGTGGTTAAAACATGTTAAAACCACCAACCAGTATAATATCAATTGATACGTGGCACGTTGGTTCATGGCACCTATGTCGTGTCCTCGTTGATCTTGCAAGGCCAGATGTCAAGAACAACGTGCACTATGCCGAGGAGTCACGGATGGGAGACCTGTGATTTCTGATCTATTCTGGAGGACCATAATGTGTTTCACCTAATCAAGAAATACATAAGATATATGCTGTATATATTAATATTATATTATCATTATTATTTTCATTATTATTAGTATTGTTATTATTATCATCATTATTATTATTGGTAGTGGTAGTAGTAGTAGTAGTATCGTTATATATGATTATTGTTATTACTAGTGTTTATTATTTATTTAATGAACACGTGAACACAGGCGTTCCATCCTTGGGCATCATGTCACGTGGGTGCCTGGTGGTTTGGAACCATGGATTTTTATGACTTTCCATACCCATAGGATCCATGGTGCTGCTATATATGGTAACATGGATCCCATCAATATACCCCATTTATGTTTGCATATATACCAGCACCAGCCGGATCCGTCATGGGATATATTGGAAATGTCATCATCCCAACTGAAGAAGTCCATCATTTTTCAGAGGGGTAGGTCAACCACCAACCAGGTGCAAAAATGGTTTGCTTTTTGCCCGAAAAAACCATTTGAATGGAAAAAAAAGTTCGGAACACAGGATGTTGGGGGCCTATTTTCAGACAAACCCGTATACTTCGAGATATTTTTTGTGGCTTCCAATCACAATGGCACCAGTCATTGTATGACATTGAATACGGTTTTTACTGGAACATTATTGGAACAACATATTGGAACAACATATTGGTTTCCCAGATTTTTTTTTGCAGCCACCAAAGGCATCCAGTGTGGCCCAGTACATCACCCAAGAGTTCAGCGCAGGAGACGCAGATCATTTATCCTGCAGGGACCAACGCGGTCTTGTGGCAGGCGGATCAGAAACAGCAGAAGATCTTCCAAGGACCGAAAGCGGAAGGGGATCTTTCTTTGGGCCAAAAAGAGAAATGAAGGAGAATATATACTGTGTTCGGATATGTTTAGATAACTCCAATATATAATATATACCATATATATAATATAATATATATATATATATTCTATGATATGTTCTTTTATTATTTTTGTATGCAGAAACTAAGATGCATTCTTCTTTCCACTTCGATGGGGCCGGGCAGTGCGTCTCAGGACATGAAGACGGGCAAGGTCTGACCTGCATGGCCGTGAATAGTAGCCTTGCTGCAGGGACTGGGTGAGATGGATTGGTTTTCACTGGAAAAATTACGGTTGAAAGCCCCATAATAGCTATGGTTTCCGGTGAAGATTTTCCCAACGAAACCAATCCATTGACTGGGTGAGATGGTGTGCTATTGTGAACATGTGGATGGGTGAATGATAGAAACATATGCACATTCCGAAGATTGATACTTCACATGCAGATACTGGCTGATCGCTAGCTGATGTTCATATCTCAAAATTAACTTATTGACCTCTCAAAATATGTCAATATTCATATCTCCCATAATCTCCCATATCTCCATAGTTTCAGAATTTCATTCGCCCAGTGGCTTCCACCCAGTCGTCAGTTGAATTCCGCCGTCCAGGTACCAAGAGATACCTCGCGGTCGCCGAGAAGTGCTACGAAGGCGCCATCTGCACCATCTTCGACTTGGTTACAGCCAAGACCCTTGGTACTTTGCAGGGATGCCGTGGGGAGGTGGTTTTTGAGAACCAGTCAACGCTTAAAATAACGATATGGTCTTGAAATTCCCCTGAGGTAATGACAATATCATCTTCCATTGCCATGTTGGATTACTGGATCTCAAAGGTATGTGTTTTAATAGTAACTTAGTAAGGAGCCAGTCATCAAGCCAACGATAGCTATAGTATAAAGTTTAAAACATGTATAAATGTGTAAACAACAGCTGGTAAACGCCAGTTTTTGTAGCATATCATAACCATTTGCTGTGCAGTTAAAAACATAAAACGCCCAGTTAATGGGCCGCAGCCATTTGGGATCAGGCCACGCATTTGCGTTGATCATTCTTTGTTTTCGATGGGCCTCCAGGGGTTCTGGCGACTTGCGTTCGTTTATGTGGAAGGCATCGTCGTCAACATCTGCATTCAACTGTGGGTTATGCTTGACAGCAAGGCATTTCTGAAGACTTACGTGCCCGCCTTTGCTCAGGACCCAGTGTTGGAACATCCTGTGGTGCTATTATTGGCAAGGTCATGGGCCTATATGATCATCGTTTTGGGTCTGATTGAGATCTCGGTCCTGACATGGGGATCACCTAAGGCATGTGCGTGCTTCCTGATGGCTGCCGGGGCAGGGGACCTTCTACACCTCCTGGTGTTCTCTTCCTTCTTCTTGGACCATGGAATTCTCGATTTGTCTGCCATGTTTGGCTACGTGATGGCAGGAGGTTTGTTTCTCTTGCGATGTCTTTGGCTGTTGGTGTTCAGGGAGCAATGGAGCACAGATCCCAAGACACTGAAGGAGAAGGATTGAACAGCCGTCCGAGAGGTGATCAAATTTGATCAGCTTCACAGCTTTCACACCACGGGCTGGGCGCAGGGCGCGAGAGATGAAACAAGCAATGCAGCGATTTTGGTTGCTGTGTGGAGGTTTTTAGCCCTGGACCCCGGGATGATCAATAGCTCCTTTTTATGCGATGAAAGGCTCATCCGCTGCCGTCTGGAATTACCTCATTGTGCATCGGCAGCCCAGCAAAGGATGTGTGCAAAACCCACGGGAGAGGGGATTGGGAGGGAATTCCCTTGCTAAAATTATTTCAATGTGTTTACCTACAGGAGGTCCGGATCTTTGGTACACATCCAGACATGTTGAAACAGCGGAGGATTTCCCAAGATGTTCCATTCAACTCGACAAAGGTGGTACCAAGCTCTTTTGGAAATTCACTTGACTTCAGGCCCTTCAAAATATCTTGGCTCCCAAGCAAGCTGCTGCGCCATGCATTTCCAGAGCCGTTTGCAAAGCTGGTTTACTGCTTTAAACGATTCCCGTAGCCTACGGCCTTGATGTTTATGCTGGTTGTTAACACTACAGTCTATATGTTTACAGTGGAGTCAGCAGTCACTGGGATATTGTGTTTCAGATACAGGAAAGCATGGTTGCACCTTGGTTTTGCTTGTAAAATCCTACCATTCTTCATGGTTACTTACATCATGTCAAATCTATTCAAATCTCTCTTCTGGTGAAATCTGCTTAAATCATCTTAAATCCCCATTTGTATCTGGAAACTGCCATATTATCCATATTTTCATATATGTTCCCCATGTTATCTGGATGAAACTGCCATATGTTCCCCATGGTTTTCCCGCAGTCCTCGCGGTCACCGTTTCAGGAAGCGGAAGACCCTCTCGTGGCCCGAGTCCGACGCGCCGGAGTTCCTCTGCGTGGCCTTTTCGGCGGAGCCTCGGGACGAGTGAAACCATGGCTGCCGGAGGTAGCCTGGTAGTAGGAAATGTCTATGTCTGGTTGGTGGTTTGGAACATGGTTTTTATGACTTTCCATATATTGGGAATAACCATCCCAAGAACATGTTTTTTTCCCCAATAGTTGGGATGATGATCCAATCTGACTTTCATATTTTTCAGAGGGGTTGAAACCACCAAGCAGGAAATATATCCATATGGGTAAAACAATGTCATAAACCAGCCATGACTGGGAATGGTAAACATACCACCTATATCTAAGTCTAGAGTTTCCTAAGTCATGGAGGTACCCCCAAAGGGATGGATTGTTTATAATGGAAAATCCTAGTGAAATAGATGATTTAGGGGGACCATCATTTAGGACATATCTATTACTATGGTGAACTAAGAATACTGAATTTGGTATTTGGTATTTGTTTAATAAGTTCCATTCGTCTTAGTTCATTTGATTGGACTATTATGATGGTGAACGGTGGTTGAATTAACTAAGAATGTATCAACATAATGATATAATGATGTGATATATTGGATTATTTGAATTAACTAAGAATGTATCATAATGATGATATATGATTAATGAATGTTGATATGATGAAATATAGTGCAAATGTACCATTGGATGGTTTAAATATGATCAACCGAGGTTCAAAATCGTGATTTCAACTTGACCCAACTAACTTAAGATCAACGCACATGTTTATTAGTGTTAACTTGAATGAATTATTCTTTATATAATTTGGTTAATGCACGCGTTAATAGTAGCTTAGACTATACCTATTGATACATCACTCTCTTCTACACAATACACATGATGACAATGATGGGTTTAAGCGGTTTAACCGTGAGACATGTGGAATGCACCAGGAAATTTTGGTGTTCAACCAACAAGAATACCCATTTAACCTGTAAGGATATCAGGATCTAGCGATCAATTTTGATTGCAACCATGTTGATTTTCTAAGATTCAAACAATGTCGAATTGAACGTTTTTTTTGTTTTACCAACAAACAAGAATCATACCATCAATTTAGTGAGATGCAACTTAAATAAGAAGGGGAGATATGATCATCAAAAAAACCGGGTGATTCAAGATGTTTGAAGCCGAATGGAAAAGTCATCCATTGTTCAACAGAATGGACCACTCAGCTAGCGAGGTATCTCCCCAGATGCTGAAGGTGACCTAAGTCGTAGCACCCCTTTTGGTCCGCACCAAGGATAGCAAGTATCTCATCACGCAGACAGGAAGATCTCCCAGTGTCGCTTGGCCCTTGAAGTTGTGACCCATGGCCTAGCGGTTATGGGATTGAGACTATTGACCAGTCATGTCTTTCAATTTGCTTATACTTGAATGGATTGGTTTTCACTGGGAAAAACTACAGGAAACCCCCATATGTCATGGGAAAATCGATGGTTTCTGATGGTTTCCTGTAGATTTTCCCTTAAGCCAATCCGTTGAATACTGGCTACCACTACTACCATCAACATCTGTTGGAGCTCAGCATGTTTTGATTTGTTTCATCCGGGTCCAAGCGGAATTCCGCGGATGGTGCCATGTTGTGCCCAAAAAGAACTGGGAACCTCCTTAGCCAACCAGGATGTAAAACATGGCCTCCGGTAATCCAACATGGCTCACTGGAAAATCCACCATTTATAGATATTCAATGATATTCATACTTGATTTTCCCATTCAATCCTATATTTCGGAGATTTCCCACATGTTCCTATGGATTTTCTCCATTTTTCTCTATGTTTTCCCATTTTTTGATCGGGGATGTCCTGTGGGTAGCCATGTTTTCGCGACCTTGCGAAGAAACCCAGGCGAAGCACGACTGGAGCCTGCTGTACTGGGTTTGGGACAAGCAGCGAGTCATGGCCTCCATCAAGGCGCGGCGCGTTTTTTTTCATTTTTTGGCTGACTGAAACACCAATTGCAGAGATTATGAATAAATATATATATAATTATATATATATATAGTGACGGACACCGAGTTAGAACCTATTTTGGAAAAAAAAACGGACTTCGTACATCTGGCCGGGTTCTTACTCACATGAGTTAGAAGCGCTAAAATTAACCGCAGTTAGAACCCCACATTTCATATACCACATATGCTCCTGCCCTTGTACACACTCACAGTTAGAACCCCTTGTAAGCATACATATATTCACAAGTATACTTATATAATCATGTATAATATTATCGCTACTCTTGTATATGAACCGATGTTGTGCAAACTCACATATGTCTCTGCCCTCGCGAACCCACACACTTAGAACCTCTTTGTATGCATACATATATCCACAAGTATACATATATCATATCGTATGATAAATACTTTTTGTATATGAACTCAAGTTGTGCCAAATCACATATGTCTCTGCCCTTGCCAGTGCACACTTTGAGGCGAGTGCTCACACTTAGAACCTCTTTGTATACATATATATAGATATACTCACAAATATACATATTTCATATTACAAATACTTTTGTGTATGACTCCGTGTTGTGCGAACGTCTGTGCCCTTGCGAGTGCTCACAGTTAGACCCTCTTTGAATACATACATATGCTCACAAATATACATTTTTCATCTTACAGATACTTTTGTGTATGACTCCGTGTTGTGCGAACAGTGCGAACTCACATATGTCTGCGCCCTTGCGAGTGCTCACAGTTAGAACCTCTTTGTATACATAGATATACAGAGGAGGCCCGCACATGCGAAGCCTGATTTCAATTGACTTTCCGGCCCCAAAAATGGAACCTGAAAGCGCACATGTGGTATCAGCTGTCTCCGTTCACTGGCTCCAATGTGGCGATTGCGATACAGCACGACCCAGGCAACATACAACACCAGGACAAAAGTTTTTCCTCTTGACTAGCTGCAGCAACCCTATCCCCTTAGACTCCTGACAGGTCTCATATGAATCACATGGCGGATCGCAGATCAGCTGGTTTGCTTTGAAAGAATTTTACTTTATTCCGACTTGAAATACGATCCGCCACGCAGGCCACGCGAAATGAGGATAATTAATCCGCGGCTGAAGATCATGAATCATAATGCTTATAAGACGCTAAACGGGGAAAGACTTTCCTCCTCCTGATGTATACACCAATCCTTCGCTACTCCGCGCTACTCCGCTACTCGGTGCTATGTTGCAATTCAATTACCCAATGGAATTGACACGATATCGAAACGATGACGGAGTAAGAAAGCCTTCGATACTTCACCTTCCCACATCTTTCCCTAAGCAGATTCTTACTCCATCCCGTTTCAAATTTATACTATTAATTAATAACGGGATTGACTGAAAGATCATGATTCATCTTCTGTCCGGGCTGAAAACTTCGGTAGGAGTCTAGAGGGGGCAAGGGGGGCCAACAAGGGGCAGTAAAGTATTCCATACAATCATCCAAATGGAAGCCGGCCACCTGCGCGAAAACCCGCAAACTCCGCAACAACAAGAAACACCTCAAGCAATCACCTAACGCTGCAAAATGCTGATGGGCCTTCTTTTTAGCAGCAAACAATCAAGCCACCAGACGAAACCAAATAATAAGAAGCTAACTTCCACCGGGTTCAAGCAGCAACGGATGTGCACCCCGCTCCCCAACAAGAAACAAAATCATCTACAAAACAGCTTGCTCCGACGGACCCAATTCTGGGTCCGGAAAACCTTCTCAAAACCGGCTTCGCTCAAAAGGGCCTCCCTAGTTGCCTTTCCGGTCGCCATAAGCCACAAAGTTTCTGTTGACACCAAAACATTGCGCTTCTGCAACCCTGATGCAAAAAACTTTACAAAAATGAACCTAAACACGGTCCCAAAAATGGGACCGCCTGGCGGTCCCATTTTTGGGACCGCATGCACAGCTTAGTAAAAGAACAAAAGAAAAGCATTTTCACGGTCCCATTTTTGGGACCGTCTGGCGGTACCAAAAATGAGACCGCAAAATCGCAAAATCAACAGCAAAGGCCGACCCGTCCGAACAAAAATACAACTGCGTTTATTTAAGCAAAAAGCATATAGATTTGGAACAGAGGAGGCCCGCACATGCGAAGCCTGATTTCAATTGACTTTCCGGCCCCAAAAATGGAACCTGAAAGCGCACATGTGGTATCAGCTGTCTCCGTTCACTGGCTCCAATGTGGCGATTGCGACACAGCACGACCCAGGCAACATACAACACCAGGACAAAAGTTTTTCCTCTTGACTAGCTGCAGCAACCCTCTCCCCTTAGACTCCTGACAGGTCTCATATGAATCACATGGCGGATCGCGGATCAGCTGGTTTGCTTTAAAAGAATTTTACTTTATTCCGACTTGAAATACGATCCGCCACGCAGGCCACGCGAAATGAGGATAATTAATCCGCGGCTGAAGATCATGAATCATAATGCTTATAAGACGCTAAACGGGGAAAGACTTTCCTCCTCCTGATGTATACACCAATCCTTCGCTACTCCGCGCTACTCCGCTACTCGGTGCTATGTTGCAATTCAATTACCCAATGGAATTGACACGATATCGAAACGATGACGGAGTAAGAAAGCCTTCGATACTTCACCTTCCCACATCTTTCCCTAAGCAGATTCTTACTCCATCCCGTTTTAAATTTATACTATTAATTAATAACGGGATTGACTGAAAGATCATGATTCATCTTCTGTCCGGGCTGAAAACTTCGGTAGGAGTCTAGAGGGGGCAAGGGGGGCCAACAAGGGGCAGTAAAGTATTCAATACAATCATCCAAATGGAAGCCGGCCACCTGCGCGAAAACCCCGCAAACTCTGCAACAACAAGAAACACCTCAAGCAATCACCTAACGCTGCAAAAGGCTGATGGGCCTTCTTTTAGCAGCAAACAATCAAGCCACCAGACGAAACCAAATAATAAGAAGCTAACTTCCACCGGGTTCGAAGAAGCAACGGATATACACCCCGCTTGCCCCAACAAGGAACAAAATCATCTACAATACAGCTTGCTCCGACGGACCCAATTCTGGGTCCGGAAAACCTTCTCAAAACCGGCTTCGCTCAAAAGGGCCTCCCTAGTACTCACAAATATACATATTTTATATTACAGATACTTTTATATGTGAACCCATGTTGTGCGAACTCACATATGTCTGTGCCCTTGCGAGTGCTCACAGTTAGAACCTCGTTGTATACATGCATATACTCAGAAGTATACATATATCATATCATATCACAAATACTTTTATATGTGAACCCATGTTGTGCGAACTCACATATGTCTGCGCCCTTGCGAGTGCTCACAGTTAGAACCTCTTTGTATACATAGATATACTCACAAATATACATATTTTATATTACAGATACTTTTAAATGTGAACCCATGTTGTGCGAACTCACATATGTCTGTGCCCTTGCGAGTGCTCGCACTTAGAACGTCATTGTATACATATACATCTACTCACAAGTATACATATATCAAGAATCATATCACGGATACGTTGGTATATCAACCCGTGCTGTGCACTCACACTTGTTTGTGCCCTTGCGAGTGCTCACACTTAGAACCTCTTTGCATACAGATATTCAAAAGTATTAGTATACATACATCGTATCATGTATCGTTTTGTATATGAACCCACGTTGTGCGAACTCACATATATGTTTGTGCCCTTGCGAGTGCTCGCAAGTATACATATATTCCATCACAGATACTTTTGTATATGAACCCATGTTGTGCAAGCTGACATATGTTTGTACCCTTGCGAGTGCTCACACCTAGAACATTATTGTATACATATACTCACAAGTATACATATATCAAGAATCATATCACGGATACGTTGGTATATCAACCCGTGCTGTGCACTCACACTTGTTTGTGCCCTTGCGAGTGCTCACACTTAGAACCTCTTTGCATACAGATATTCACAAGTATTAGTATACATATTTCGTATCATGAATAGTTTTGTATATGAACCCTTGTTGTGCGAACTCACATATGTTTGTGCCCTTGCGAGTGCTCACAGTTAGAACCTCTTTGTATACATGCATATACTCAGAAATATACATATATCATATCACAAATACTTTTATATGTGAACCCATGTTGTGCGAGCGCACATATGTCTGTGCCCCTGCGAGTGCTCGCACTTAGAACCTCTTTGCATACATACATGTGCTCACAAGTATACATATATTCCATCACAGATACTTTTGTATATGAACCCATGTTGTGCAAGCTGACATATGTTTGCACCCTTGCGAGTGCTCACACCTAGAACGTCATTGTATACATACATATACTCACAAGTATAAATATATCAAGAATCATATCACGGATACGTTGGTATATCAACCCGTGCTGTGCACTCTCACACTTGTTTGTGCCCTTGCGAGTGCTCACACTGAGAACCTCTTTGTATACATGCATGGACTTACAAGACTAAATAAATCACATCACAGATTCATTTGTATATGAGCCCATGTTGTGCGAACTCACATATGTCTGTGCCCTTGCCCGTGCTCACACTTAGAACCTCTTTGCATACATACATATGTCACAAGTATACCATCACAGATATGTTTGTATATCAACCCGTGCTGTGCAATCTCACACTTGTACGTGCCATTGCGGGTGCTCACACTTAGAACCTCTTTGTATACATATATTGACAAGTATTACTATACATATTTCGTATCATGATTAGTTTTGTATATGAACCCTTGTTGTGCGAACTCACATATGTTTGTGCCCTTGCGAGCGCTCACACTTAGAGCCTCTTTGCATACACACACATATACATATATCATATCACAGATAGTCTTGTATATGAACCCATGTTGTGCAAACTCACATATGTCTGTGCCCTTGCGCGTGCTCACACTTAGAACCTTTTTACATATATTCACAAG